TTCGATTGTCACCGATAAAAAATACGTTAAAAACCGTATTAAAGTGAAATTGAAGCCAGACTATGCGAGATATAACTGTATAATATTTCATTATAATTATATATTTGTAAATGTTAAGTGAAACAATAACAATTTAGGATCTTTGTTTTCTCAAATCTAGATAATTGCATGAAAGGTATACACAAGGGGTGACGGTATAACAAATCTTGGTAATTATACGCAAACCAGATATTCCCGAGACTGCCACATTACGTTAACGACTACATATTCTTAAGAAGCACAAAACAATGAAACACGAAATCGCATAGCATTAACGAAATCTGTTGTTATTACACACACATATATATATTTTGTGTGTCCCAAATTTCAATGTCTGCTGGTGTCAGTCACCTCATTTCGCAGATATCCAAATCACTTCCATGCATTACTATTTGCCCAAAGCTCGCATTCATCCCTTTCCACGTGAACATGACTTACATATTATTTCACCTTCCATCTCACACCTCCCATTTATCTTATACTCATGTCCACGCCTAAACCTTGTGATGATTTACTGCCTTCTATCCACATCACTCATTTTTAATAATAATAATAATAGCATTAATGATACACATATTTAACACTTGAATATAATTATAATTAATAACAAAAAAGGCGAAATAAAAATAAAATACTATACTTATTGTATTCATTAGTAATTTAAATATTTATTTTAAAACAATTCATAACCTTTCAACCAAATTTTATCTATTTATAATTATTATTTTTTAATTATTAATAAAAATCAAAATTTATTGTATAATAAAATAGAAAGGGCCGCAGTATTATTAATATTATTCTAATTAATTGAAATATTAAAACTAGTAATGATGTGTATAAATAATAAAATCAATTCATATTTGTCAATATTTTATATTTCATGATAAAATATATGGGTTACAAATAATCGTTGCTTCTCAATTATTGGAAATGTACGTTGATTAATTAAGGTTCTCTAATTGTGCACGTTTGATTTAAACGATTTTAATTGATCACATGAATCGTACGTGGTTGCATGTCTATCCATGTATAAGGACGCAAATTAGTTAACGTTAAACCATTTCCATTGGTTTACATAAATAGTTTAAGTTTATTAAAATTAATTCATTTTATTCGAAAATAAACGCACAAAATTACATTATAAAATATAATAATTGCAGAATAAATGTATTTCCAATCAATAAATATTAATAATCATATTTTAAAGTTTATTGCTAATTATCATACAGAAATGATAAATTATTTGAATTATATAAATATAATTTATATACAATAATTTATAGCAATATAACCGTTGAATGCACTCTTTTCTGTCTTTATAAATGTATTATGCATATTTTAAATGAAATTGGAGAGAGAAAATAATTAAATGTTCATTATTTTATATTCAATGTTTTTTTAAATTATTTTATTTTTGTTAAATTATGTTATAACATATGATTTATTTGATCATTATACCATATATTCACAAAAACAAGACAATTTCAGTTAAAAACGCGTGGATGCGCCGGGTTATTAATATTTATTCATACTTTTATAACACGTAATTAATTAAATACTTTACTTTATTATTTTTTTAATCAAAATGAAATTATCCATGTTCACAATTTCATGTAAATTAGACATGTTTGTAGTCTAATCTGAATATTAAGTGCTATTAAAATAAATCTACTAGTAAATAATCATTTTTTTTACTACTCTGTTGCGTTTTTACCAGATAAAAACCAATCCTATATAAACCATATATATTGTATGTAGGCGATATAAACGGAATTAATGAATGCTAAAGCACACAGCTTTTATGATAAAAAAAATAACGGTGATAAAAATAAATATTTCATAAATGTTTTTCGAATGAACTGAAATATTTTCATTTTTTTGTGTGCATTCTGTAATGAACTTTACATTTTGAAATTGTTATTTCTGTGTATTTCCACAATGAATTATTTATTTTAGCGTTCAGTTTATGAATAACATCGTCACATCACGGAGAACAGCGCAATTTAACATGTCGATATTAGTTGTTCTTTTTTTTATGCTCACTTTTCATATAGTAAAATTTGTTATTATAAATTTATATTACAACATTTTATTGACCCCAAATTGGACCAAATGGCTTCTAACCTAAATATTTCTACCCTTATTATACAAATTATACATTTTAAACAAATCAATCACCAGAAAAATATGTAAAAAAAATGTAAAGTGTAGGATTTTTCATTCTCAATTATAAATTTCTCATATTTGCAAATTCTTAACTATAATGAATACAAAATTAGAAAATAACTTATGTAATAGTAAGTTTCTTTTGCAGTTTACTAGATTATAAAAAGAAATAATGATAAATTACTCCGAATTCACAAAAGTCCGGTTTGTAAATTTTAAAACTAATTAAATTTTAGTTGAACAAAATAAAAGTAAATCTTCTAATAATTGATATTTTCTTTATACATAAATCATAGTATTTTTTTAGGTGCAGGTGCAGGTTATTTTAGAATGTATTTAGTTCCTAGATTAGTCCGGTTTCAAACAATCCTATATGTTGACAGATGCGTACTATGATTTAATTGGATAATAACGTTGGTGCTCTGATGCATTTAATGCGGATTTTGTATAATAGCATTACAAAGTCTGTGTTGTTAAGTTTTTTATTTTTAAGAATTGACATAAATATTTTGTAATATATCATAATATGTGTATTTTTGTTCATTTTAGTAATTTAGTATATTTTCTTCAAGTTTTAGTAAATTCAAGTTTATATCAACATATTATATTAAAAATTCACGAATGGAAATAAAAGTTAATTGCGTCGAAACCTGAAGAAAAATCTGCAACTTTTCTTATGGAAAAGCTTCAAAATTCAATGTTTAATTTCTGCACAATTTATTTCTCCCCCGGTTTTTCCTTTATTGGTGCTCGATATAAATCACATTTTTCCCTCCGAAGCGGCAGTCTTACACTCCATTCCGTGTCGAGACTAAATTCAATGGTTGATTGTAAATTTCCGCTTGTCCTCGTCATCAGTGAAGTCGAATAACGTTGAAGAAAATAATACGTTAGGGATTCGCGAATTCCATTCCGAAACTCTTCATTGATATTCATAATAATGTGGAACGAAAAAAAATATCAATACATTCACAACAAGAGTACATCTAAATGTATATACACGTAAATATTGATATACATATATGTGGATATGGTGATGTGTTGGTTTGGAATTTAATTTGAATTCCTTGTCGGTTCTTGTGCTGCGAGAGGACAACGACGGGGGCGTTTGGATTTTACTTTCGTTTGGGATGTTGGGAGGAGAGGAAAATATTAAACGAAACGTGAATTTGCGAAATGAGTTTACTAACTGGGGCCAACTTCCCAATTAATTAATATTTCATTTGCTCGGACCATAATCATTTACGCATTTACTTCATGCTACTTAGATTATGAAACTTCATTAACGTTTAATCATAATCAAATTAAATCTCGTTTGTTGTGTGCCATTTTCTGGGGTCCAGGCACATGGAACTTTTCTCAGATTGTTTCAAACTTTCGGCGAGGAAAAAAAAGGAGGCAAGAAATATGGAACATTCGTCTCTTGCAATTTCAATGTAATTTTCTAGCAAACACAGAAATTGAACTGAAAATAAAATAAAAATAAATAAATCAAAGAAAATAATATAAAGATGTGTACATACTATGCGCAACTTCTGTAGATATGTGAAAGGTCTATATCGCAAGCCCGACAACCGAAAGACCGTCTATTGAAATCCGGACGTTCAAAATCCCGACTGTATTGAAATCCCAACGTTCGAAATCCCGGCTGTATTAAAATCCCGACGCTTGAAATCCCAACTATGTCAAAATCCCGACTACCATAATCCCGACAATCAAAATCCCGACTATATCGAAATCCCGACTACTATAAAAATGTTATTGTAGAAATTTATAATAATAAAATACACTGTCGGGACTTCGATATAGTCGGGATTATGGTAGTGGGGATTGTGACATAGTCGGGATTTTGAGTTAATAATACATAAATTTGTCAATAATTGTGATAATTATGTTATCTGATATAATTAAATTAAAACAAAATGATAATATGTCCCTGTGGTGATAATGGAGGTAAATAAATATGTTAAATATAATACTTAACCCTTCGTAAATCGCGCGGCAACTGTGAGACGCCAGTGGGTACAAAACAAACATAACTTTTAAAACTGACAGACGATTTGTAAAAACACCAAATGTCATTTTAGTGTAATGCATTAAAGGATTAACAACAAATATTCTTGGCAGAGTATATCGGACGCCAAGCGAGTAGTGGTTTTATAATATTTTACTTGATTATTTCTTCAAAAATTATTATGAAAATTCATTAACAAAAACATTTAATCTCTTATATTTTTAGAAGTATTTTCTAAAAAATATATCAATATATAAATATTAAATTATATATGTTTGAATATAAATTAATCCAAATTACAAATATTTGATAAATGTATTAGAGAATTTAATATTCAATTTGAATGAAACTAATGTAGTCGATTTGACAGTTTCAGTCGTTATTGAAGATAATACTCCTAAATACACACACATCCGTATATAATACGAATGCCAGCTTAGCATGTTCACTTGCGTGTGACAAATTGCAGCAAGCATGTCAACATACCAAATTAATTTATGTATCGCAAGATCTCGGAGGCACGTAAGCAATTTGCGATCGCATTATGGGATAGTTTAAACTTATGATATAATGAAGCTGTTGCTGTGTTTCTCGAATCGACTCGAATGAAACGAGTGAACGAAACTCGTTACAATATCAATAATATACACCGTAATGAACGTTATTGATTACGTGGTTGGTACAAGGAAATGCTCCATTGGTAGATGAAATCTGTACAATTATTTTCACGTGATAAATTCTATTGACAGGACTATTAACTATGATGGATATTCCGTTTCAGACCCGAAGTTTACGATAATTGGTGATGGATTATTAATAAAGAACGTTACAAGGAATGACAGTCGCACCTACATTTGCAAGGCGATGCAGACCAGCACCGGGGACATCATGGAGCAGAAGATCCAATTGAAAGTCGAGCGTGAGTATAGTTTTATATATTTTTTTTTGTTGAATTATTATACACATTTTTTGTACGGTTTATATTTGGGAAATGGTACAGCTCTGTGAGGAAAGTTTAGCAACTTCCCTTACTAATATTACATATAATTGGTTTAAATTGCATGTGCTACAAACTACATCAATATATGTGAGTCTGGATGTGAGTGTGTCTTTGATGTTTTGGGGCGCCAACTTCACCCGCAGAGCTTCGCAAACGGAACGAAACTTTCGTTACAGGCTGAAACTGTAATTAAACTGGAAGATTTCTTTATTAAATATAATAATTTTAGAAAGTCGCGCGTTCATCGGAAGTTTTCGGTGCAGAGTTTTCGATGAACGCTGCATATTAGTTATCTAACAATAACTATCGACTATAGCAAAATGATGGAAAATGCAAACTGCACAAACATATATTATTATGAACATTATATGCAGTATAGACGATATTCATCGAACTTAATTTATTGCTTTATTATTTCTAGTATCTATATTAATATTAATAATGTACAGAAGTTTCTTAGAAGAGAATTTATCCAGTGATTAGTTAATATTTAGAACACAGAAGATTTTTTCATCAAATCAATTACAGAAAAATGTATATTATAACATTATGATTTTTAGTTCAATTTATTGCTTCAGCTCTAAAGTTATCAAGAAATTTTGTTTGACGTTAATAAAATTAAATTAATTTCATTATATAATTATAAATTCAAATTTTTTATGGAAATAAATGAAATTATAATTATATATTCCTTTCTGAAGCATCATTTTTCTTTTACATTTTTGTTTAATTTCCGGGATTCTTGAGAAGTTTCCATTTCCCATTTCTCAGGTTCAAAATTATATTTTATAATATAGATCTATAGTTTTTTAAATTACTACAAGACAATTGTATTACAATAATGGTTGCAATAAACAGCTAAACTTAACATCGATTTAGTTAATAAAATAATGTTTTTGTCAAGACAACGTTATCTATGAAATCGGAGGAGATTATAATTAATGAATGTGTTCAAATCACTAAGTGAGATGCGGTAGTTCAAGTTTCAGGCAGCAGTTCATTTCAGACATTGAGGTTTTGGGGGTGGTTTAGGTGGGCGGCTTCAGATGAGTTTCGGATATGTGGTGGAGGCGAATATATGTGATAATATGTTATGTGTTTGGGGGCCCAGTATAACTCACGGTGATTAAACGCATTGTGCTCGTGTTAGCAGGGCGTCAACTCGACTGGCAGCAGGAAAACAAATTAGCATTCTATATGCTATCTCCTGTACACTCCGATAGCAATCGGCGCCGACAAACGCGAAATAAAACCGTTGCCTCTAGGTAGATAGATTGATCATTCAAATTAAGAAGAGGAAGCTATGATCCAGATGGTGCAGATAACGTGGACGTGGATTGTATGGATGGTTGGCGGATGAACTGGGAAGTATTCAGATGTGCCCGTTCTGGATTAGCTCGTGCATGTGTGAAATTGTAAGTAGATTTATCGTCGCGCAATCTTTCATTCCGATGTGACTGCGGCTATTCAATGTGCGGAATGCGTGTGCATACAACGAGGAGGTACGACGAAAAGACCTCTCTGGATCACATGTATAAAGTCCTTTTTCCTGGAAATAGATTGCGCAATGATAAAATATCGCTTCAATTACTGTGGGAATTTCAAATTTAAACTACTTTCGAATGTCCCGCCATTAATTTAGCTTTATTATCTAACATTGTATCATATTAAAACCGCTTCCGCGAAATTCATTGGAACGCTCAAATTACAATTCTTTGATAATAATACTAATTAATTCTCATTTTATTTTACTTAATATCTTTTTATTCTTCAATTATTTTTTAAAAGAAAAAATACATTTTTAAGTTTTAACGTTTTAAATATTTATCAATGTCAACACCAAAAAATAATAGGAAAAAACACTTTTCACGTAATAAAATTACAAAATATTTTTTTCTTCAAAATCAACGTTTCTGTATCGAAATCTTTAAATCCTTTCCTTTATCCAATATTATCTCACACTTTCAACAAAGATAAATATCCTGCTGTTACTTTATTTCATTATATAATATCCTATTCATAGCTTCATAATATGTAATTAAGCAAGAAATTTCATTTTGTATTATATCATTTTTGTATGAAATTTTCAAGAAAAGAAAGACGTGGGTCGATATTCATTTGACTAACAGCTTCATTAATTATTTTATTATTATAAAATTTATTCTACTGTTAAATCTCAAGTTATTAAACCTAATCATTTTTAGGTCATTTCTCGCAACATTAATACGTTGATTAAAAAATCATTCTAAAATAATTTATATAATTATATTAAAAATGTAACTAAAGCATATAGAAAACAATGCAACGATTTACTTCATTAGAAAGATATAAGTTTCAGTAGTAACTATTAAATGGAGAAATGGAAGTTTGAGAGTTGGTATCGAATTGATGGCGATTGGTATTTTCAATTTGTCTAGTTTGAACTCGGGTTTGCGTTTCAAGTAGTAATACTTCTTCTCCAAAACCACTTTCCGTTATCGGTACCAATCATGACACGATAAAATATCGAGTCATTTCACATTTAAACAAAAATAAATCGATCTGTAATTTCCACTGTTTGTAAAGACTGTTTCCACCATCATTTCATTATCACATTTATAGAAATAATTCATTGATATAAAACAAGTACAAATTTCAATAATTTTCTTATTCGATATTTTTTATTAACAAATAATAGAAACTAATTTAATATTTATTGAACTATTAGCGTTAAATTAATATAAATTTCGAATTATTTATGAAAAGTTAATTAATTTTGATACTAAATTCATTTCTTCCATTTTTATTTAAATTAATTTCATTATATACATTTTTACAACTATTGCTACTTTTATAAGTATAAATACACTCAATATCAGTCATTTATAAGAAAATTATAGTGAATCAAATATATAAAACGTGTACTATTATAAAGAAATAACTTACAATGAGCGTAATTATCCGAACAAATACGTTTTTGTAATGTTAATTTAGATTCATTTTGAATGTAGATATTTATCAATGGAAGTTGGTGTTCACGTGCAATTGGAATAGGAAGCATATAAAATGCAAATGTCTTTCATTTATGTTTAACAAAAATCTAATGTGCCTGTAATTTACATTGTAATGTCGACCAAATCCATTGTTCCGACGTGCGCATATACACCCTAACATATGTAACAACAAAAATCAATAAGAAACGAATCACCTCATAACGAACAACTTACGTAATAATGAGCAAAAGTACATGCATATTCATAAACGTTGCATTGTTATAATCACCCATTAGGAAGAAATATTTGGTATAATTACTTTACATAATTAGGTTAAATGAAGGATTATATAAAATTAGTTTACATTGTACAATATAAGATTATACGTTACATAATGAGTGCAACTAAATCATTATATAATGAATGCAACTGTTTGCCAAGTCATTTTGTAAATGCTTTTGTAACATAGGAATATCCAGCTAAATTAATTTTAAATACAGGAAATGAAATTTGCCTTTGGTAATTATTGGACTAATTACTAATATAATTAATATAATGCACATAAATTATATATCATAAATAATTTGATAATAGTTAAATAGGATTAAATATAAATTTGAAGCAAAAGGAAGGTTAAGAGTATCAAGCAATAAAAAATAGAAATATGTATAAGTTAAGATATGGTTTTCAGACAAATTTTAAAAGTTGCAGCAAAAAATATATGCACATATGCTTAACTTGAATGCTGCAATAGACAATGGAAAATGACAACAGTCGTGGTATTTAATTGAAACCCTAAATCAGTCCATATGCGAATAATAAATTAAGTGAAGCTGGTGAGATTTTTAATAAATATTTCATGTGCTTTGTAGCTGTGCGCCAAATGCACGGACAATATTAACAGAAACAAACGGAGCAGACCAGCTTGATTTATACCACTCCGGTTTTCGGTAAAATGGTGTGGTGGTGACCTGTGGCGAACCCGCATTAGTCCGTCCATAATCCCACGGCTGTTGATATTACCTAAACTCCGTGGTCCGCGCAAAACAATGCTAATGATCTCCAGTATACCACCAAGGGATCGATAGAAAGGAACAATTCCCGAAATCTCTTCCATACCTCCATACAAAAAGTTCGAACGATTCAAGATGTATGATTATTTTCGTACGTCCAAGAACCAACAACAACAAAAAAAACTAAACGCATGAAGTGTTGTACGCCACCAGCAGACCACTCAAAAACGATCCGAACTTAATTGAAGAAATATTCCCAAGCGCCGCCGCTTGTTCTCTCCTAATTTATGTGCAAACAAGCTCCACCCGAAAAGCATGTAACTGCCGCTTTAATAATATTCATTTTTTTTCTTCTTTATTTCCTTCCTTCCTCCCAAACCCACCCATTCCATCTCTCGTTTTTCGACTGCAAACCTTTTCCATTCCGGGAATTTATGTCCCGTCATTTTTACAATCGTTCCTCTTCATTAAACGGAAAGCTTAATCCTAAATGATTACTCCATAGATTATCCTACAACAAATTACTGCAAGAATCTAACGTTTTATGTATGATAAAGGAAAAGCCCAATAAAAGACTCCTTTTTTATGTTGGAGGAGGTAGCAGCCGATATTTCTTTCAATTTAGCTCCACGGAAATAAAACATCGACAGGCTAATTGCATTCTGTTTTCTGCCGCTTTAGGTAGATGCCGTAAAAAGCTTAAAAGCAACGTCTTTACTGCATGGTGGTATTAAGCAAATTAATTAATTTATCGGACGAGCCGTGGGCGTAATTACCGCAAAATATCTTAACTTATACATTAAAATCGTTCGCTTTTTTGGTTTTAATATACAAGCTTAGTATTTTAACGCAATTTCAACTGCAGTAGCCAACAAAATGCTTTTACAATGACTAATAGTTTTGATAAATTTATTACATAAATCAATAATTCAATCCATGTAATATATTAACCTATTTTATATATAACAGTTATTGATTAAAGCATACACTGTAGTCATAATGTAGTCATTTATGTTGAATATAGTATAAAATACATTTTTTTAAGCTCATTACATCAATTGAATAAGGATTACGTAAATTAGTTCAAATAAAAATACATTGTTTGTGTAATTAATTCTTATTTTAAACTTAATTTACAAACGGTCGTTTCATTTTATACTTATTTTCAAGCACATACCTAAATATATCACTTTACTTGATTACAACATAGAAACATCATTTTTTAAATTAACGTATGAGATTTTGTTCTTCTATTTCTTCATCAACTAAAAATATATTATAAAAAAGCACATCCGAAGAAGATTAGGATTTGAAGTTGCATAAATTTGAAATAAAAATCTTTTCAAATATATTTAAATTGTTATAAGTTTCTGAAACAAAATAGTGTTAAGTTTAGATAATAATTCTAAACCATATAAATGAGCTGACGTTTACAATTTCCTGAAGCACCCTGAGTAAATAGAATATTTAATTGTCTTAACTAAACTCGAAACTTTCGCGATTAATCAAATCCTTATCTAATTATTTTTCGTGAGAGCTGATCTATATTAAGGTATTTATTTCCGTCCGCCGGACATTAATTAAACGAGTTAATTGTAAGTTCTGGACTCTGATGAATTAGGAGCCGCCACACGTTAACAACATGCACACACATTCACGCCAGAAGCGAAAATTTTAATACGGCAATTTACTCGACCAAAGAGTTACGGATTAGCAAAGTAATCCCGCAATCTTTTCGCACCGGCCTTGAGGATTAAGCTGATCGATCTTCGCCTCTTTACAGGCGAATCTACGAACTGTCCTGTCTAATAGGCGTTAAATTCCCACTCCACCAATTTCGAAGCGAAATTAATTAAAACAGAAAAGAGGAAACGGAAAATATACGTATAATGTTCTGGAAGCATCTTTAATTCCATTAGCGTTGTTTTCGTGCAAACCGCCAGCAAAAAAAAAAACAAAATATGTAGCGTGAAAAATGGTAATGCAAATGAGGATGTGTGCATTAATTTTAATAAGCACACTGTGTTTGTTTTAAGTGCAAATCTCTTGCTGCGAAAGAGGTCAGCAAAGTCGTGGTGCATAACTTTTTTATTTCATCCTCCCTCGGCGGGGGTAGAACGCAGTCATCCATATGGAAATTTTACATTTACTAAAATCTGTCCACCATAACACACATCGCTTGGTTTCCCAATTTCATCCAGAGCAAACACAGCCTTACATTTTGACTAAATTTAGCTTCACTTCATAGTAATAGGTTTTATTTACACTGTTTTCGTTTTACGCAAAACCTACACTTTTACAAACACACAACATATTCGTGAATTTTTTCATGCATTAACATTAAATTATTATTAAATGAGCAGTAAACATTTGAAGGTAAATTAATGAGCATAAAAATTAATTATTTAACGAGTAAAATAATTATTTTGTGCATTTTTTCGAAGTAAAGTTTTGGAAATTTTATTCTTTTAGGTCAAAAACTTAACAAAAACAGTAATTTAAAATTAATAATATAAATAAAGTAACAAAAAATAGAAGGTAATAATTTAAATTTTAATTAGTAATTTGTTAAATCTATAATGAAATATATTATTTTCTTCATCCTTTGAGTTAAAATCTAGCAGCCCTTTGCAGTATTCACTAAAGTTAGAAATTACTCTCCTGGGTATATATCATGGTGCTTCGGTGATCCCTCGCAGTGATTGGAATTGCTAAAGTATTTCATTGCACCTTACGACCATTCTGAACAGAGAAATGCTTGTAAATGTTTATTATGCAATAATAGTTATGTAATTAATCTTAAAAGATAATACAGTTAGATACATTTTCATGAACAAAATAATTAATATTAATTTTAAAAAATTAGTACACAAAATTAGTAAGGTTTCAAAACAACAATATTAATTGATTATTATAATTTGAACATTAGAATTTATAAGAGGATTTTTTTGTGTCTGCACATCACAGAGTTATGTCATCCAGCTGAGGCATCTGGTAAAGCTAATCGAATTAAAGCTCATCTTGGCCTTATTAATAAATCCTCACTCGAAGGGGCTTTAAAGGCAGAAGAAATTCCTCGTGTATTAAAACCCATTGACGTGGAAAATTTATTTTACGATCCAATCAATATCGATCTGAAAATGTTTGTTTTAGCGAAAGCTCAAATAAAATAACTGAAATGAAATGAACGAGAGACAGAGAATGAAAGAGGAAAAAGAAATAAAAAATGGATTGTCGAATCACGGAATGAAATGTGCGGTGGCTTAAAAGTGTGTAGTTTATTGTAGCCATGACTAAAAGGCCTTCCATTTATTCGCGTAACAAATGTCTTCATAACGGCGTAAGGGATTAATATATAAAGTAATCCAAAGCACAGTTGCATTCGGATGTATGGCACAAAGTATCGCGTTTAGAATAAAATATATTACGTGCCCTTTGTCTACGTCTCACTCAAAAATAAATCCTGTACGTTGCAGCAACACCTGCTATCCTTTATACAACTTAGATTAGAAATACTGTACGACTTTTGATTCTTTCAAGAAAACGCATTCATATATCATTATAATGTATTTAGTTTTTCTTACTTTGTCTTTTACATTTTCGTTTAGATTTTTATATTAAGTTCTTCTGAAACTGCAATCTATTAGTGATTTAAAAAAAGGAACCGGAAATTGTCCCTTTTTATGTTAAATAATAAACTTTTGCAAAACTGTTTACTTTTGTTTCACTTTTTACATAAATTTGCACGGTAGTTTGAACTTGTTTATTTTTACCAAAGTTCTGAATTTATTACACAAAAAAAATGGATTAACTCATAATAAAACACTCTTAAATTGAATATAATCTGAACATCTTATATTTAACTTACAACATGAATCAGTATATAAAAGTAGTTCACGAATAACTACAAATACTTACGTCTAAATAGTAATTTATTGTAGTGTTTGTCTATTATAAATGAGGTCCACCTCAACTAATTCACTACACTGCACTCTACAATGAAGAAAACATTCCATCCGTTACGGAAGACCCTTAGTTTTAATAAATAATGCAACGCAATTACCAAAGCTAATCATTATTGGTACTGTGATGTTATAGGCTAAGATGGAAACCCAGCGAACATTGACCTTTGTACCATAGTTAGCTAAGAGTATTACCTGTATTATGTAAGACGAGAATGAATTTGCTTTGAAAATAAATTAAGAAAATACAGAAAAGAATATCAAATTATTTCTTATTCAAATTCGAACTTTTCCAATATATTATTCAATCTCAACTAAAGTTTTATATTTTTTTCTTTTGACAAATATCTTACATTTTTTTTTATTCATTGTTAACATTTGTCATATTAAGCTGACAGGATAAAATGTAACTTTTTTTCTTATCACAATACATCAAAAACTTTGTCTTTTAATGTAGTTGTTAAATCATTAAAAGTTTGTAGATTTTTTTTAAATTAATTTCTTGATCAAATAATTCATTAAGGATATACACGTTTCTTATCATACATTTATAAAACACAATTGAAAACAGTACTTTTTGTTTCAATAATAAAATAATTTAATTTAACAAGATTGAACATATAAAATTAATAAAAGAAGATAGGATTTTCGGAAAATTTCGCTTATTATTCATGTGTTTCTATTGTTAATTATGTTTATATTAAATAATCATTTTAGGAATTTCAATTAATAATACAGGATTATGAACATAATGACAATGGATTGAAATAAATTGATTGATTGTTTGTGTGTTGTTGAATGGTACATTTTAGCTGTTGTGTAAAAAGCACAAGTTTTTCAGGGCTTTATCTTCAGAGATTTGTCATGCTTTGCGGGCAACAAATGGAGTACAAATTTTGACATGTTTACATGATAAATTTCAAGAGATTTACAACACGCTATAACGCAGTGCAACTCTGATTCCAATAATTTACTTTCACTGTGTCCTAAGTAGAGAAGCTGCGAGACGCCTGGCTGCTGCTGTTTAATATACACGGAAACATCATCACTCTGTCCTCCCAACTTTAACCGTTATTATTAAGTTCATAGTTATTTTGCTTGAAAATGTAAACACACTAGTCATCGCCAGATTGCAGATTCCCAACAACGTTTCAGCTAATTTTCGCAATTAGCAGCTGTAATTAATTTATTTTGTAGATGAGCCAACATTAGCGTATCAGCCGGAAACTAATTCTAATACAGCTTTTATTTAATTTTCTATCTAACATAATTAAGCCTGCGGCAGATGCGTTTAAAATGATTTCTGGATTACATGACGATAGATTAATGGATTAAGATTTATATAAAAGTTGACTTTAAAAGTTTTCGAATTACAAAAAAATAATATTTAATTAGCATAACCATTACTTAATCGTGTTCTTAACCTTGATATAAAATTGAGAAATGATCTTCTTTATCATCATATATTTGTTGTTTTATATTTCAGATAAACCATCATTTAGGCACAAGATCTGGGTGAAAACTGAGGAAGCTTGGGCTTTCATCGGCGGCGAAGCGAATTTGACATGTGAAGTTTACGCAGAGCCACCGGCCACATTTCAGTGGTTGTGGAAAAAACAAACTGTCCAGGAAGGATTCCACAACACGCAAGAAGGTCACATCCAGAAGTCCGTTCTACAAGTAAGATTAGACACACTAAAAACATTTCCCTTGTACATCCATCCATCGGCAAGTTTTAAGTGTTTTACGCTGTAATCCCGAAATTGTTCTCTTTCATTTATTTATTTTATTTTGATGTGCATTGCTCAGCTTCATCTCTCGTGATGCTCGTTATCTCTTTTGCAAACGAGTTTCATTATTATCTCGAAGTGTTTCCATTCGGGAATTTATTTGAATATTTGCCGACTCTTGCGTTCGCGTTTTCACTTTCCAGATAATTAAGCTAATTAACTCGCTATTAAGGAGACAGACTTTTCACGTCAGATTTCCATTTCGGATCGTTCCAATGGAAATACCGTGTCGGGTTCGTTGTAATCTCGGCAAAAATTAGTTAGTGGAATTACGAATTTCCTTACCTTCGGCTGTCGAATTAGTGGTGCGTTTCCTAATGTGGACGCATAATCGTCTTAAATTAACTGTCTCGGAAAACTGGGTTGATTGCTTTAATGCGATTCCAACGTACCTAAGCCAGAAAAACGGATTGCAATTTATATCTTTCCGAAATCTTGATTATTATTACAGTATTATTTCTATTACTACTTATATTAATTAAACGTCTTAATTCAGACTTACTACTTTTAAATTTACACAATTCTTTACAATTAATTATTATTTATAAAATGGAATGAAATTAATATAGAAAATTATTCATACTGATTTATTAACATTATTCAAATCTTATATTTACATATAAAATCGTTCATAGAACGCAAATAATTTCTAATAATTGTAGGTTTAAAATTACGTTTGTTATTATTCTGTTGATGCTCCACAATGTATTGGTTTCATTCAAGTTATTCACAGTTGTATTTATTATTCACAACTAGTAGTAGCAAATATTGCTCTGGAGAAAGTACGTGACGTATTAACTGGAGTCGAAACAGAGCCGGAAAGTTCGGGCTTGTATTATGCAATCTCATATAAAATAAAATCTCCTATAAATGTACTTTTTGGCAATAAGAAAAAAATGTTACCATTCCTAGTTTACATATATTTTTTATTAAATAATTTTATTTTAAACTTTAATAAGGACATTCATTTAAATCTTTTTATATTCAATAAAACTATTATTTTTTTATTATTCTATCATTTACTAAAGCAATTTTCTTAGTAAATTAACACGGATTTGAGGCAGTGATTAGACTAAACATATTATAGAAAATATCTAAAGAAACTTTGTATTTTATTGCAATTATTTAATCGGAACCCTTCATAAAAAAGCTGAAGATCGAATGAAATGTGGTATTTAATTATTTTTTTCAATTAGTTTCTAAATTTTTTTATCTCACTTGTATATTTTTATTTAAAAAGAATGCATGTAATGACGTGGTTTTTGTAGACTTCGCCGAGAATGGTATACAGAAATCTCTTAAATACCAAGGGTATACATGTGCTTCAAGACCCCGTTTATTCACATCCAATTAAAGCTAGAAGTAGCTCTAGTTACAATATAATACTATTTTTTTTTGCGTTTTTGTTTTTATTTTCTTTCCTGTTTTTTTTTTCAATTATGCCAACGATGTTCTTCTTTCTGAAATGCTCTTCTAACGTGCCAGAATGTTGTATATAAATATTTATTTACCTATTATATAAATAGAATACATTGAGCATAAAATAATCCCGGACTATTTGAAACCGGACTAATTGAGGAACTAAATAAAATAGAAATAAACCGCATTAAAATATACTTCTATAAAGAGAAAAAATGATCATTTATGTACCAATTTCGTAATATTGAACCAGAAAATATTTAAGTCATTCTTTAAATTATGAATATAAAAATGCAAAATATTTGAAATCTTATCTGAAGAATTGAAAATATTTGATACTAGTAATAATGCACTGAAACATATATCACAGATTAGAAAACAAATGACAACTAATTTATAAAGTAACATGTATTGAGTACATAGAATACATTAATTGCATATTGATATTTACAGAAAATTTAAAGAAACTTGAAAAATGGCAATAAATTTAGTGAATTGCAGAAATCCCAGTTCACAGATTGTTAATATGGAAACATAATCAGAATTATTATATAAAATTGCTAAAAAGTCTTGATCAACTTTGCAAAGTAATAATGTTCTAGCTTAATTAATTTGTTGATAAACAGTGAGATTAGAAATGATTTTTTGTTAGGTTTATTAACTGTTTTAATATGAAATCTGAAGACATTTTAACTGAACTAACAAGTAGAAATTAACTAATAGACATTTATGTCTCATGTGATTAGATTTAACAAGTATTTATTAAATAGTAAGCATCTACTTGGAAAGTTTATTCAATTAATATCAACTTGTTCCAAGGAAAGCACTTATCAAGTGCCGAAAACGTCGTTAATACTAGAGTCTAAAGATTATACTAATATTGCTTTTATTTGTAGATCTTCATGAAAGATTCGTCTAGATACGGAAATTATGTGTGCATGGCGAAGAACAAACTTGGCACTTTAGAGAAGATCTTCTCATTGCAACCAGGTGTTCAGCCACCACCACCAGAGTACATCGAACTGCGCGGCGAGAATTCCGATTTATTGGACTTGGGTATTGGAGAACCTAAGATCACGGACAAAATTCCAAGCGCGATGTCACCAACCGGATACCGCGTCCAATATCGTCCTCACAGCGATGATTATTGGAAGGAGAAGGACTACGAGAGGAGCGAAGGTACTTAGTTATTTAGTGAAAATCATTTAGTAGCCGTCAATCCATTACAAAATAAATATTTGTGTTTCGAATGTCTGTCTATATAACGCGCATAGCGATCTGCACTAATTGAGTTTTGATTCGGAATCTGATTCCGGCTCAGCAGCATCCTTCACGATATTTTAATAATATAATTAATTTTAATAAATTTGAATATTCCTCATGCATAATGTAGAACAATCTATTGTTTGTTTCCGAAAAGTTTTAATACTTTATATTCTCTGGCGTAGCGCGACTTCAATTTACTCTTGCTTGTTTTCCTCGGAACCAGCGAGGATGCTGCTGGTGGATATTTTAAATTTCATCGTATCCTTTTCTTCCGCAGCGAATAGTTATCCCCTATTGAACCTGAAACACGACACCGACTACGAAGTTAGAGCTGCGACCATCAACAAAGCCGGCATCAGCGATTACACAAACATCTCCAATTTCCGAACGTTGACTCTGCAAACAGCCGCTGCATCCACAACATTTTTGACGCACGTCATCGCTGCCTTCTCCATCATCTTCTTCTTCTTCGGCGCCCTATGGTGACTTCATTAAACGACGTCGTCGATAACAACTTAGACTCGCAAATTATACACTGGAAAACCGAAGGGAATCCAAATAATTTAGTTAATTGAATGTTGCTATAGATGTTTTATTTTTTAAACGAAAAGCGAGAGCGAAAATTTATTGAATTTATATATATATTAGATATTTTTAATTGTTGACGTGTTACGGAACTAACTTTATGTAAAAGAAAACAAATGATTACATTCCAGATGAAATCTTCTTTAAAGAAAAAAAAATAATACGTATGCATCTTTATATTAATCTATTAGACAATGATAAGTCTGAGTATCAATTAAAAACAATTATTTGCATTGATCTTGGGGACGAATTCCACGGCGCGATTTATATTTTTGGTATTCGACGAATTTTCTCTTTGCTCTGACAATAATTTCAAACCGTTAAAACATTATTGCAGGATTTATTGGCCGGAATGCCGACGCGAAAATTTTAAGACCTGATGCTATGTCGTTCGGAATTTCCGTTAAGAATTTGTCGCGATTAATGCAAATCGAAAACTCGTAATAAATGTTGTAGATGACAATTTTGCTATATTTAATATATTATATACACAAGAGAAACAATATATTATACATAAGGATATTATATAGAAATACAGTTTACTTAGGCTAAATCACACCATCATATCATGTACACTTTTTATTTACATTCAATTCTCTCTAATTGTTATTAATTTTATTTAGTGAAACTTCATTTTGTTAACTGAGGCACAACAAGTATAGTGAAATTTAATTGAATATAAAATATAATGAAACAAATTATTGCACCACAATTCACATTACAATAAACATTTAAATCGATAGAATTCATTAAATTTAATTAACGATGAATTTGTTCCAAGTTTTTTTTTTAATTTACATTATTTACATTGACTCATGCATATTCATTCCGATGCTGTTCATATTTTCCCCAAATATATTTTCTGAACATGTTTTATTTGATCTTGTTACGGAAATCAGGATTCGTTAGATGCATATTCATTACGTTAGCATGAACCAATTCAAAATATTTCAAATCAATACTCTATTTTCATTATATAACTTTTTACTAAACAATAACATAATTATTCTTTACTTCCATCATTTATATTTCAATAAAATATATATTTAATCTTAGTAGATTCATAGCTAAAAAGAAAACTTCGTATGTAATAGTTAATGCAATATAATGAAATGATAAAAATATATAAACTTAAGTGTAATTTATAATTTCTATATAAAAAAAAAACTTTCTAATTAATTTAATTTAGTTTAATTTGTTATTTTTGCAAGAATAAAATAGACGTATAAACCTTAGTTTCATTAATATATTTGTTATATCATTCCATGTGAAATATTTCTGTTAGTCTCACAAATTATAAAAGAAAACCAGTGTAAATGAAATTGCTTTAAGTGTTTATACTATGTTATATGAAAGAATCCATCTGTTGGAGGATTTGCGATTTGTAGCGAAGCAAAATTGTAAATATTTAACAACGAAAAATGAAGTTGAAAAAGAAAATTGAGATAAAAAAAAGATGTATTATAAATGTTATAATCCTAAGAAATCTAATATATATTATATCCTATAGTTCATTGTTAAAATTTCATTTAAGTGCCAATGTGTTACGTTCAAAGAGATGAATCGCTTGCTAATGAAATGCTGCAGTTGTTGCGTAAGCGATAGGAAATGTTTGTTTCTGTACACTTTTCGGACGTTATCTTCCATTAATTTATAACGTATAAAAAATAACATATTTGTGTCTCTCATTTTGTGATAACTAATTACGTTTGTTTGCGTGTAACGAATTGCGTTCTCTCATGCAATGCTATTTTTGTATACCGATGACGTTTGTTTTTTTTTTATATATATTTTTTTTTCGTGTAAATCCCTGATTGCGAATGTCATTATATTATTAATATCCAATTTGATATTCTGGACGGAAGTTTGAGGAGAACATGTTTAAACTGGATTAACTCTGTGTGCAGTATAAATTACTTATTGTTTTGCTAATTAGAGACATGATGATAGCTATTTGTAGTAGTGCATATGTATACATACTCAATATGTTTATTTCCAACGTCCGTTGTTATATTTCCGCGTGTTTAGGTAGAATACATTCCGTTGCAATTCATGCAAATCAAATTAATTTATTATTTCGGTAACACACTTCATTTGAAGTGCACGAATCCACCATAATAATTCTGACTCTGTATTTATATGTTTTCATTTCATATGTATATTCTTTAATTAGTTTATAGCAATTGTTCGAATTCCGAGCGATACAAATTATAAATTAGATTTATGTTTGTTTTTGTTGAGCTTTTTCATTAAGTTATGTTCCGACTGAAAATATGTTTATAATTGTTTTTTCTTTGTTTAAATAAATATATAAATAACTGTAAAGCATGCAGTTTTTTTCTTCTTCTATTCCAATTTCAAAAATACTAATACAGGTATCCCCCGACTTACGAACTAGTTCCGTTCCAAAGGGTTGTTCGTAAGTCGAATTTGTACTTATCTTACTACACTTTATTATGGGTTTTGCTTTTATATATGTTAAATTCCGTATTACTGACTGCATAAATTTGAAAAAATAGATTAAAATAAACAAAACACTTACGTTTCAATATAGACATCACAATTATTTCATAAAAAACGACAAAAGTGTAACGATTAAAGAAATTATCAATTTTTGTTTGGACAGTTAATTTTTTATCACTATATATCTCCTTATAAAAAGTTAGAGTTTTTAGAATTTTGTTCGTGAGTCAGGGAGTTCGCAAGTCGAGGGATACCTGTACTTGTAGAAAAGTTGAATTTCTGTACTCATTTCTGGATATCTTTTTAAAAAAAATGGTTTATATCGAAATTATTATAAGATTAATATAACATCCAATAAAGACAAATCTATAACGCAGTAGCTGATACAAATATTATTGACAAAGCAATAATAATTATTGTCATAATTGAGAATATTAATAATAAGTATAGAACGCTTATGCATACATTTTTGTATTATATAAAAAAAATATGTGCTAGTTAAACTCCAAAAGAAAATTGTAGCAAGTTTTATACACAATTGAACTGAATCCAAAGAAAACTAAAGTATCACTTCTAACATCATTCTGAATCTTTTCAAATTTTAATCAAATAGGTAATAAAAATAACTAATTTGCTTATAAAATAATCGTTGTGTTTACTTTTTTGAACACATTTAACATATATTGAAAAATATATAAAAAGTGATACAATTTGATTCATATTTGAATTCTATAAATATCTAAGTGTTAGTATTGATAATATATATTATTACTATTATATATAAACTATTATTACGAATGAATACAGCGGAATCTTGCATAACGAGCATTTCTCTTAACGAGCAAAATGAAGTGTAAGAAAATTAACTCGCTTAACGAGCGACGTTTCTCATAACAAGTGACAATGAAGAGAAGTTCCGCTACATCATTTTTAAAACTTATGTACATATATTATGTATTTTTTTAAAATGTTTCACTAAAGAGTAAAAAAACGGAAATTTTGGATTAAACTCGTTAAGCGAGGTTCCACTGTATTTGTTTGTTAAAAACTTTACAGTGTCACCTAATGAGAAATACGTGTAATACAGAAGTATTGTGTGCAGAAAACGTTTTATGGAGTTCTGTTATTATAAGTTCTATCAAAATATATCATATACTGTAAGCATTCTTATCATAATGATAATATTATGATTATTTATAAAATACAACTAATCATCCATTTAGATTATTTTACATTGGTATATGGCTCCATCTAGTTACGAATGGCGTTAATGCATACTGTCTATATTGACACATAGGTGGAAATACCATTTAGAAGGAAAAATATATAATATAATTATTATGGGCAATGGTCGCCTGTATCACGAAAATCTGATACAAAAGGTCGTTGGTTCAATTCCGAAAAATCAACAAAAAATTGTGGTAGCTGCTAAACCCGAAAGGGTCAATAAATAAATTGATATAAATCTCTTTAAAAAAAAATAAAAATATTATGATAATAAGAATATCTTTTTTGTTTATATGTAACTGTGACTTACAAAAATTAATAATAATAATTGCAACATAGTTATTTCTACCAAATTATTATAATTTTAAATAAAATTGTTGTTCTCGTCATACATATTTAAAAAATAATAGTTTTATAATTATCCAAAAAACATTCTATTATTATTTTTAATATACTTTCTATATTAATTAGTTATTTTCAACTAGTTATTAAATTTTTTGCAAATTATTTGAAAGTAGAGTACTTTAATTAACTTCTTATATTTAGAATTATATAGCAATTAACTGTTGTTAAAAATAAACACATTCTGTATTGAAATAATATAATTATATCATTGAAAATACTAATGTAAGTATAATATTAAATCAGTGAAATCTTGTCTTTATTCTATACAACAAGATTGAATGAAAAAAACTTATAAAATTATATTAATTGTTATAAGCAAAAAAAAAAACTTTATTATAAAAATGTGGATAAAAAAAATTGTTTTATTGTAAAAAATATTTAAGAATCTCTTAAATTTTCTTGGTATTGTGGAAATTTTACGCAATTTAAGATAAATCTCCGAAATAATTATTTTTGGCTAATTGTCTCGGGTCAACGGAAGGCAAACATGATAACACGTACGAACAAAGATAATCTATACTTATGCAATGTTTTCTTTCGCAAACTAAATAATAACAAGGAGCATACCAGAAGGTAAATTCTTCAGGTAATTGCTGCTAAAAATATATGCGCATGTGTACGATTCCAGCCAACAAACGGATAAATAAAACCGAAACTCGATAAATTGTACGCGTTTGTATTAGTACAGAAACTCTATGCAGTAATCCGTTAATTGTTGCAAACAAGTTAATCTCCAATAACAATTGTGTAACGTCTTCTTTCAAGTATACTACAGCATGGGTCTATTTGGCAGGAGGTACCCCAAAAGTCCGTACCCGCACCTCTACCAAAGTGAGAATTTCATTCATTATTATCTTTACATTTATAAACAAATACTATACCAACATGGAAAGAACAACTTTTTTTTTTCGGCTATTTAAATACGAAAAAATAAACACTTCTGCACGCCCGAAACGCGTGGATGTCAAACGTAAATATTGTTATCATACAAATCGTGAACACATATTAGCAATTTAATTATATATTGGATATAATACACAATTCGATCGTGTCTCTGCCGCGATTTACGTCTTGCTGTTCGATGCTAATTGTGAATTATTTTGCAGGAAATGATGATGGTTTGAATGGAACAAGCCGTAGCGGTAAATTAATCTCCTTTAACCACAATCGCACGATTAAATCTGTGTTGTTTCTGAAATTGATGTGCTTCGATTTGTTATGCAACAACAAAAACAACAGCATGTGCATGTTCTTCGCGTAATTCCTCAATTTTATTTATTGCAATAATAAGTTTACCATTTCCATTACTTTTTTTTCCAGTAGCAACTATTTATTTAGATAATATACTCTAAATATATATATAAACACAGTTTTTTTTATACACGCAATTCGATGTAAGTTTAATATATTTGATTGTTTGTTTGTAAATACAACGATTTATTCCGGGTTGTTTTAAAACCAAGGTTAGGATTATAGAGAATCACTTTAATTGCCAGCGTATGTTGAACAAAACAAAGTCTAATTAAAAACCTATTTAAATTTGGCAATCAAACAGTTTTAGTGCAATGAGTGTGTGAGATAGTAATAAAATTATATAGTTATTTGGATATAACGTCGTTGGTAAATAATTTTAAAATGTACTAATTTAATTATTTCTACTAAAAAATGTATATGTAATATAACAAACATTTCCAATATTCGCAGAGTTAATAGATTTTTATAAGTTGTCATCGGATGCTATTAATAATATTATTTTTAATATTTAATTATCACTTTCATGTCAACTTTATTACAACAACAGTTATAATAAATAGTATAAACCAAAAATTCTTTCTAATATAATTATTTTACTATAGTTGACATTTGATTGAAATATTAAATATTATGGTATTATTGATTAATTGATACAGGAAAACAAACAAACATTTATGTTATCAAAATATTATCTTTAGCAGTTTTTTTTTATCCATATAATCCATATAAACTTGGTATATATTAACCTGACAATTATATAAGACATTAAAAAATAAGTGTTTTGTTGAAGATTTATGGACTATAATAAAAAACAACTTGATTGGAATAGTTCAATAATTGTCCTAAGAAAATTATTGAATAGTTGAAATATATAAATGCAATAATTATTCTAGCATTATTTATTTTATTTCATAATTTTAGATTATTACAATCTCCTATTTGCATTATTTACTGTAAATAAGAGAATTTAGCTTTATTTATTAATCGTGATGATATAACATCGCATTATGCATATCATGACATAACAGACAGTTCTTGTTATATTTGTAATACAGGAGACTATAGTATCCTTATGAAAATAAATAATGATTATATACACAATGATTTTTCCAAATATTTATATACTACTATTTAAATATTTACAAAATTATCGCAATATATACATAACATTTGGAGAAAACTGAGGAATCAAGCAACATTCTTAAGATTTAAGATGTAATAACGATAATTATATCTAGGGATTAATGCATCGATAATTCACATTTTGTTTCTTTTAAACAAAAGAAAATATTTTCAGTGTGTCCTTGTGATTATCATAGTTTACTTTTATAATCTACATGACAAAAAAAATACACAAACGATAAGTTTTATAATTACAGTAGAGACTATTCACTAATTAGTCTGTGCATCACAGATCTGAAGTTGAAGTTGTCGAATCGTTATAAATTTATATGTAAGAATTTTTATAGTGATTATTTTAAGTTTAAGAAAATAATTTTTCAAATTAATTAACTTTCATTTTAAATTTATTAAAGGAAAAAACAATTTCTGAAATTTTATATATTTTCTTATAAATCTGATATAAACACTTTTGTATACTTGTATTGTATATGTATTTATTTTGTTTTTGTGCCAATGTTAAGCCGTGATGATCCTTGAATTGACGATATTCGGTCAATTGAGTAACGTGCCTCGAATTAATTCCAAAATAATTAAATTAATTATCAAATACACTACAATTATATGTATTTGGAATCATATAATCAATTGTTTTTAAATTATTGTAATTAAAAATAACTATAGTTTCTTTCTTTTGTAACTGGGGTAGATTTTATGGCTTGTAGTTGAAAGATTTCGGAACTGATGTAAACAATACGTTTTTTCGTTCTGTAGAAACGAAACACACACTTTGGCTGTTTTTTTCCATGCACCTTGCACACATCTACACACATATATATTACGCTCCGGCTTTATTAACACATTTCAGTTGATAAGACGTACGTATAAGAGAACGTTACGAATTCGGCGCTAAGCTAGTCAAGAGCTTTTAGTCATCGAGCAACAATCATAACGCGATTATACAACAATTACATCTATTTACTAGCATCTGGAACGACGGTCCATGACTTTACGCGTGTGGCTTAAAATGGTTCAGGAAGTTGCACCTCCGAACTATGATAACCAAGGATGTTACGATTTTAAAATCGCAGGTACAATATAATTTTTACATAACAGGCAAATAAATAAATTAACAATAATAAAAAAAAATATTGTGTCTATATTCTTTCATAGAGAATGTACTGAACACTTTGTATAGACAGTAATAAAAAGAGACTGATAATTTATGGCGACAGCAGAATATAAAAAATATATACAATAACACAATGATAAAAAATATATAATGAACAACCTTTGCTGCTTCCAAGAAAGGCCATCTTCCATTAGTATTGATCTCAACACATCGCTTCCGATGTGCATGACTCTTGAAGTAAAAAAAGTATTGCAAATAACGAAAAGCTATTATTCATTCCGGTCATAAAAAAACATTGAACTCGATAATACAAAAGTTACAAAATGGATAAATTTTATTTAAAAAAAAAAACATTATACTACATCATTAAACTATTACAATTAAGTCCATCAATATTATTATTTTGTTCATTTTTAATTATTCTTCTGTTTAAATAGAGATTGGAAAAGATCAAGGATATTTAAAACAAATTTATAACAAGACTTTCGATTATGTTTTGTTTATACACTTTGTGTTGACAAACAGCAGAAGTAAATATAACGAATCATGCTAAGATAATGAATGATGGTTCGACTCTAAATTCCAAAGTAACGCTGGTTGCCTAGGTTTAGGTACATGCAAACTTGGCCCTAAGCCTTTGACCGTGGGTGGTCATTGTTTTTACAGCATCTTCAAATTACTTGATTCAATATTGTTGCGCATATATACATCATTGTTTGTCCTATTCTGCATCTCTTTGCTACCTTCACCTTTTATCAAACATCAAATACTAGCAAATATATGTATAATGCACTAATGTTTATTTACCTCTTAACAGTGATGACACTCCAAAAAAAAATAGCTAAGAATACAATAACAAGTTTTATTTCAGTGAGTGGAAAATTATGATGTTTTTTTTTTAAATAACAATACAAAATAATTATGAAATTCAACCAAAAGGCTTTAATTAAACATAACTATAAAAAAAAGTGAATGCAATAAGAAATAAGATATTTTTTTTATGAAATTTTACTTTAATTTACTTAAATATATATGTTCACTCAATTTGATAAATTCCTTGTCTAAATTAATACAAGAATTAATGAAAATAAAAGAAGTTTTGTTCAATATATAATCAGAACTCTGATGTTCAAGTGCGCATTGCTTTTTCTTTTCATTTAATTAATATAAACAACTATGTGGTCTTTCTTTTCATTATAATTAATTTATTGTAACAAACTTATAAATACGACTTAATTGCATGATTGGTACACATTAAATACGCTTGAATTAAAAAAAACAAGTGCAGCAGATTAAGGAAAGACAAGTAATCGAAATGTATGTTTTTAATTGATTTTGTTGCTTATCGCTCATTAAGAAGTCACTATCATCGTATCATCATATATGAATATATTTATATATATATATAAACATGTATATTATAAGAAAAACCAGATAACTTGCATTTTATATTTTCACTGAATTTGCAACTATGAATTTCGTAATATATTTACTATAATTAAGTTAATGTCAGATTTCTTAGGAAATTAGCTCTAAATAATAAATAAATAAATTAGCTAAATTATAACTACATTAATTATATAGGAAATTGTTAATAAACATAATATTAATTATTTCTAATTTCCATTGAATTCAATATATAATTCATTAAATATTTATAAGACTATATTTTAATATATATTATTAGGACCACATAGTTAATTAATTAATGGTATGTTAAATTTAACGATTACATTTTATGTTTTACACATTCATAAATACGTATTACTTTACAGACAATTCCAGCACGTGAGAATTTTCTTTGTTACACGTGTATGATTAACGATGGTAATGTTGCAAATGCTTAGATTACTTGTAAAAAAAATAGGTAGTTTTAATCAAAAGAAATAGCTAATTATTTACGGATGTTTTTATAAGTCTTGGAGATCCGGCTCGATCGAGTTTCTACTCACGATTAAGTAACTAGTTTCCATAATAATTAAATCCTGCAAATAGTTGTTTACATTATATGATAATTGCAATTGAATTATATTGATAAAATATTATTAATTAATTATGTCCACTTTATTTAGAATTTAACTTTTTTAGAAGAAAATCTTTCAAGTTTTCATTTATTTATTTGGAAATACAGTAATTAGTTAAATATCGATCCATGAATTGTTCTAAAATATTATATAAGTAAAATTACGTAAGAATGTTTAACTGTATACTTACAAATGTAACATTAACATCTCCTGAAGTAATTGCTAAAGAATAACACGCCAATTAAGATGTAGGTGAGTAATTTCATTTTATCAGCGTTTGACATGACAGAGATTTCGTAATTGGCGGCTCGCATACTTTGATGTGGTCAAAAAAAAACATGAATGATAGGAAATTTATATTTTTTTTGTTGTTGGGTATTTCTGGAAATACGCGATCATAGTTTATTGACTCTTCATTAGTATTATGACTAAATTATATATCCATTTAGATATCGATTAACAACGATTCATGCATTTTCATGTGAATTTTCTAATGAAATCGACTATAAGAAAAAAAAAAGAAGAAAAAGAAGAAGAATCACAAGATTTGTAGTAATCACAAAACGACTGACCACTTCGTCGCAGATAATCTTAATGACCCCAACAATAAACTTTGGACGTGTTAAATGCTCTACACGTCCAGTATTCTCACAGTATTCGAAAAACTGCCGGTTGCTATAATAAACAGCTGGCTGGCACCATTTAGACAAAAATAAATAGATTTTTTTAAAAAAGATGTTTCATTGATTGAGACAATCTTTACAATAAGCATAAACCCGAACAAAAAAATATACCTTAATTATTTCTATACATCTAAACAATATGTCTTATTTAGATGTTGTGGCTTCATCCGGCAGCATGATAGTGGTATCCAATAGATTGCCGTTTGTTTTGGAGAAGAATAAAGAAGGAAACTTGTGCAGGAAAGCTAGGTAAGTCAATTTAATAAATACTAATACTTCATCATTTTTTCAATAATAATGTTTATAACTTTGTATAGATTCAATAAATTTATTATTAATCATAGTTGTTTTACAACAATTACATAATTTATTGGCTATAAACCAAATACTTTCTGCCCTATAATTGTTATAATTTCTAATATTTATTCTGATATTTAAAGTTCTTTTTAACACACAAAAAAAATGTAATTGAAAAATAAAAATTATCAGCTGGATCGACGAAGATGATGTGACTAACATTAAAGGTCGTGACTTTTTTTTAACGCAATATATTTTAAATGTGGGTCAACATTTTTATTTCACATAAATAATAAATAATTTAGTTTTGACTGGATTACTTTTTTTTTCATACAAAAAGATTAGTTTTCATTATTTCGATAACATTATTCTAATTTAATTTGAACTATTACTTAATTCTCACGACAATGATTAGTGTTGCTAATTGAATTAACTATATTATAGTTTATTGCATATAACTTATGCAAAATTATTCATTCATATGTGATATGTATAAGTGTATTAATTAAATATGTATTGTAATTAATTATAATAAAATCATACATATGATTATTTTCGATATTTATTATTCAGTTAGAAGTAAACATTTGTTTGAAGTTCTTGCTATGAAATTTATCTAATTAATCTTAATTCTTATAACGTTATTTATTTGATTATTATATGTATTTTTGATTTATTATAAAGCAACTTTTCTGTTAAGTGGATGTTGCAATTAAGTAAACAAATTAAATCAATGCAGTTTTAAAGCTTCTTTCAGAATTTGCTTGTATATGAAAGTTAAGCAAATCATGATTTGGAAGGGGGAACAGGTTTTAACACATTTTATATACTTAAACATTTCATTGTCAATGACTACATTAGAGAGAAATCTCCTAACGAGTAACATTTCATTATAAAATTAATATATTTTTTTTTACAAATAAAATTTATTGTATTATTGAATAATATTTTCCATTGCATAATATAAAACTGCAATTTTTTAGTCATTGAGGATTTATTAATAATCATATGTACGATAATTGCGTCAGTCTGTAAATAATGTATTTTGAGCCAGACTATCCATTAAGTTTGTTATGAATAGAAAAAAAGCAGATTGTAGTCTCTTCGTAAATGGTGAAAATGAAATGAACAAATACAATAATTAATCATTTACGTTAATTTCACGAAATTACATAAGAACTTTTCATTTGTGCATACCGTACATCTAATTATAAATATAAATAAATGTCGCGTTAGCTATTGACCTACGACAAAATGTTTAACTTTGCGCTAATTTAATATGCATGTCTGAAGGATGTTTGGATAAAAAAAAGATATTGTATACGTGTTTCATTTTTGTTTGTTTTATTTTGTATTCAGTGCTGGAGGCTTGGTGACAGCCGTTGCTCCTGTTGTGGTCAATTGCAAAGGACTATGGGTCGGTTGGCCGGGAATTCACTTGGAAGACCCCAACCAACCAATTCCAGAATCCGATCCCAACGACATTACGCCGACGGCAGGATTAAAATCTGATAAAGTAAGTCGTACAAACCAAAATTGTATAAATTTTGATTTGCTTCTAAAAATAAAATGCAATTTTCACATCATCATTCGGAGCTGTTATGTAATAATGTATGTTAGCTCGAAGCGTTGTTTATCTTTCGACGTATATTTATCATTTTGATAATTTATGAAAGGAGGCTTTACATATTATGTGTAAATTAGATCCGGTTCCTTCTGTAAATCGGCTTTAGATTAATACGTGTTATTTTTTTTTAAATGTTTTCGTTCTCTTTTTGACAGGTCGTTTCTGTCAGAATAGATCCACAAATATTCGATTCGTATTACAATGGCTGCTGTAATGCGACCTTTTGGCCTTTGTTCCATTCGATGCCAGATAGAGCGACGTTCAACGGGGAGCACTGGCGAGCCTACATAACGGCCAATAAGGAATTTGCAAACTGCACTTTGACTGCGCTGAGGAAATTAAAGAACACAGAGAATGCCGGAGATGTCCCACTAATTTGGATCCACGACTATCATCTTATGCTTGCCGCTAACTGGATTCGACAAGTAAGTGGACAAACGCGGGTATTCATAGCATTATCGAATGCCAGGCATGTGATGGATAATTGTTTTCGCGATTAGAGGTTCAAAGAACTTATTATTTATAGGCAGCCGAGGATGAGAACATTTCTTGCAAGTTGGGATTCTTTTTACACATACCGTTTCCACCTTGGGACATATTCAGACTGTTCCCATGGTCCGACGAGATTTTGCAAGGAATGCTCGGATGCGATATGATCGGCTTCCACATCACTGATTACTGCTTAAATTTCGTTGACTGCTGTCAGAGGAATTTAGGTTGCCGCGTGGATCGCAAGAATTTGCTGGTGGAACACGGTGGGCGCACTGTGCGAGTTCGCCCATTGCCAATTGGTATTCCATTCGAAAGATTCGTAGAATTAGCAGAGAAAGCCCCGAAAGTGTTATCGACTACGCAAAAGATAATCTTAGGAGTTGATCGTCTGGACTACACCAAGGGCTTAGTAAATAGATTACTCGCATTTGAGAAACTATTAGAGAAGCACCCGGAGCACAAGGAAAATGTTTCCCTTCTGCAGATAGCAGTTCCATCGAGAACTGATGTTAAAGAATATCAGGAATTAAAAGAAGAAATGGATCAATTAGTTGGAAGAATCAACGGTAGATTCACAACCCCTAACTGGTCACCCATTCGTTACATTTATGGTTGTGTCAGCCAAAACGACTTAGCAGCTTTCTACAGAGACTCGGCAGTCGGTCTGGTAACTCCACTTCGCGATGGAATGAATTTAGTCGCGAAGGAGTTCGTAGCTTGCCAAATAAATACACCCCCAGGTGTTCTCATCGTATCACCTTTCGCCGGAGCGGGTGAAACCATGCACGAAGCATTAATTTGTAATCCATATGAAATAGATGGAGCAGCAGAAGCCATACACAGGGCATTGACGATGCCTGACGATGAGAGGATTCTAAGGATGAATTATTTGAGGAGAAGAGAAAAAATCAATGATGTTAATTATTGGACCCGATCTTTCTTGGCTGCTATGGGATCTTTGATTACACAAGAAGATCACGATGAAATTGGTGCAGTAAGAATGCCTGCTGTAACACTAGAAGATTTCGACGACTATCTTGCAAAGTTTGTTATTCAATTTAAATTATATAATCACTTAATTTTACCCGAATTTTATATTTCAGATATATTGGAAACACTCACAAATTGGCTTTGCTTTTGGATTATGATGGTACATTGGCCCCAATTGCGCCTCATCCAGATTTAGCCGTGATCCCGACAGAAACAAAGAACATTTTACAGAGATTATCAAACATATCCGATGTTACCATTGCTGTTATTTCTGGAAGGAATGTGAACAACGTTAAAGATATGGTTGGAATCGAGGGGATAACCTATGCTGGAAGCCACGGTTTAGAAATTTTGCACCCGGACGGTTCGAAGTTCGTACATCCTATGCCGAGACAATATCAAGGAAAAGTCGGAGAGCTGTTAAAAAAGCTGCAAGAGCAAGTGTGCAAGGACGGAGCTTGGGTTGAAAATAAAGGAGCCCTTCTGACTTTCCACTTCCGCGAAACTCCGGCGCATCTGAGGGAACCACTGACTTCAGTAGCTAAAAAGCTAATTATTGAAGCCGGATTCAGAGCGGAAGATGCTCACTGTGCCATAGAAGCGAAACCTCCAGTAGAATGGAATAAAGGAAGAGCTTCGATTTACATCCTCCGAACGGCATTCGGCGTTGACTGGAGCGAAAGAATTAGAATTATCTACGCTGGAGACGACACGACAGATGAAGACGCTATGCAAGTAAGTGTACCATCTCTTAAAACACAAATTTATTTTCCGATAACTTATTCATTTTGTTTTTTTATTAGGCTTTGAAAGGAATGGCGGCTACCTTCAGGGTGACCTCTTCGCACATCACTAAAACCTATGCCGAAAGACGTCTTCCTTCCACCGATTCCGTACTCACCATGCTGAGATGGGTTGAAAGGCATCTGAACCGCAGAAAGCCGAATAAAGATGCAACATCTTACAGAAGGAATTCAAGATCTAAGCAAGGCGCTGTGCAAATGGAGATGTCGTATTTAAGATCAGAGGTCGGAGATAGCAACTAGCCTTATGTATAAGAGTTAAAAGAGACAAACAACAAAAAGATATCTAAAATTAAATTAAAATTTATAGAAGATTATAACAATTTTTGTACTGATGACAGTAGTTTAAATTGATTAATATATTTAGACTGATCTAAAATATTTTATATAAATGTACAGAGATATGAAAAAACAAATATAAGTGAAATTTATTAATGTGCAATATAGATGAAACATCTATTATTTTTTTTAAATTGAAAACTTAACTATGTTTTCAAAATAAAAAAATTTATCATAAGATAAATTTTTAATTATTGTTATATTTCGATATGGAATATTGTTTTTTATTATTATTAAAGCCTATAACAAATAAAGGACATTGTAAAATTTGTTTTAAAATAAATTTATGGGAAATCGATACACTTTTATGATTTATTATTCACCACCATTAATTATTTAAAATTAAATTTTTAATAAATTAAAATAAAAAAAAATTGAATTGCTATTTTTTTTAATAATATGGTCATATTTAAATGTATTACAAATATTATTTACATATGCATGAAATGTAAAAAAATGTGGATTAAGTCTATATTTGTAGATATGGAAATAAATCAATAATGATGATTATACTACAAAACAGTGCAGATTTCTGACTTTGTACTTGAATTGCTTTTACTTGGTCACTGCAGATGGCAGTGAGATGACTATTTTGGAATTTTATTACCGGTTTAGTCTACTATTTGAATTAGTTTAGTTAAAAACTTTAATATATTAAAATTTAAATAATTTAAAAAAATTTAATTTACTTTATATCCTATTGACTCAATGATTACAAAAACAATATTTGTATAAAACAACATTCAAAGTTAATAAAACAAATAGCAGAAATAAATAACAGTTTATTATTTGATGTGCTAATCAATTCTATTTTTTAAGTTATTTCATAATGAAAATGAAAGTTGCCATTTTTATAAATAGTATCCAAAATTATACAAATAAAAAAAAGTATTTTGCATAAACTTTCTAGAAACAACGACATTTCGCACGTTTTAGTCATTTATCGCCATATATTAAGGAATAAACCTTGATTTTTAGAACTGGAAATTTCGTCCTTGTGTTTTAGATAAGTTACTTGTGTTACAAGTGTTTGTTATTCAATATCAGCTCGTCGTACAGTACAAAGTGTTCCTGGAAATAAATTATAAAAAAAAGGTAAATGATACAATTGCATTCGATATTTTTAATCATATTTATAGCATTCATCCCCCATTTAATATTAATATTTTAGTAGAAATGTTCTTTTTTTTTGCATTTTAATCATACGTTCAATGTATTTTCGTGACATGTAAAAGCCATTTGGATGTAAAATATTAGGTAAATAGAAAAATCCAATACACTAATAATAACGTTGAAACGATAAAACTTTCCATTTATTCATTTATCGCAGCTATTAATCAAATGACAAAAAGTCAGTATGACAAATGCCCCCGTCATTAGTGTTGATGTTCAATGTAAGCGATCTCGACTCAACCCTTCATCTTTTATTAATTCATTTCGTTTCGCCCCTGATTCAGCAATCATAACAAAATTTGCGAAGAAAGTAATCTTCTTTCGTTTACAACATTCAATTTGTTCATACACATTTTTTTTTTGAACAATCAAATAAATTATAATAAAGTAACTTTTGTTGTATATATGCATAGGTAATTGTTGCAATAAATATTGCTTTATTGATTATCAATTTAAAATAATAATCTGAATGAAATAACTACAAAAATTGGAAACTATATCAAGGTTGTTTAGTTTTCAATTAATATTCAGTTGAATTCAAGATTGATTTATCTTCCTTACGTTCTTTCTATATATACATATATATAAATAAATAAAAAAAAACGTTGATTCTTTTTGGCACTTTTTGTTTTCACGCGGAATTGCCGATCCATTTGTCAATTTGTGAGGGTGTTGCGCGAAAACGGAAGAAATTGGGGGTGAGTCGAAAAGTGCATAACTTAAAATTGAGAAGCGGCGAAGGCGGTGGCAAAAGTTTGCTTTTACTTTTATTAAATGAGATACACAACAAAGGAACTCCTGCGTGAACGAAAATAAAAATAAATAATGTGGAAAGTTTTCGGCTGCAGAGTGAATAACTTTTGCCTGTACAAAGTGATATGATGATTAGGTTAAATGGCGGAGAATAATATTTCATTAGACATTCATTTGCGAACTTTTGTAGTCATCCCGATAATCATTCAATATCTACGATAACAAAAGGTGTGCAGTTCAAAATTTGAATATTCTTATTTATACTAATGTGTTTTGACCTGTATATATAAATCAACAAATGCATGCACACTTTATGTGAAATACGCAGTTACAGCAGACGTGTAAAATAAATAAAGATTTTGAGAAAAGTAACAACGCATAGGTAAATATTATAAGTTAAAAACTCTAATTATTATATCTTTTCTACTTTAAAACTACATTTTCAACTGTATTCGCTTGTTTTGTCCTTAAGTAGTTATACTAAATGTCTACCAATTTAGTTAATTTTTGTTTTTGAGTTTCAGAAGAGGATAATAATGAAACCAATTTGGAAATTTACTTAATTATTTGGTTCAAAATTTAAATCATTGATATCAAATTGGAAATTCTATTATAATGCCATTATTCCAGTAAACTCAAAAGTTCAAATTTTCATACTGATGTTATTATCAAATTAGACTTGATTTAGTTTATAATTTATTTTTTTTAGTCTCAGTTATTTGAAGGATTAAACTTTCATCATTAATTGATAATAAGTCTGCATGTTCAAATGAAGATGTAAAATTAAAGTTCCTTTCAGTTGGTCATAAACTATTGAGTTTACTTGTAATTTTATTGAAACTTTGTAACTTATCTTTATTTGAAAGTAGAGATTTTTTATTTAACTAGAAATGCTAAAGCTTATATATATTTGAGATATATGCATAAATATAATATATAAGTTGATTGAGTTTGGCCATTTTCAAAGTATTCATAAAAGTAATCCTGTAAGGTTATCCGAATATTTATTAAAAACTTATGTATCATCTATGTATTAACATATTAATTCATATACTGACTAATAGTAGCGTAATTAGTGTAACTGTACGTTAATCTAAGAGTATATACATTTTTGGTATGCATTTTACTGATTTTAACTAATGTTTAATAATTCTTACTATTATTGTTATGACGTGATAATAATAATTATATAAAATTATTTAAAGTTTATGTAAATATTGACAATAAATATCTCGTTTATGCAATTATGTTAATGATTATAGTGGTAAATAAATGAAATTTACAATTCCAATTTTAAAGTCCATTTCCAGCTAAATGCTACTGAAATGAGTAATTTGATTTAATTTCGAAAATTAATTATTTCACATGGTTTGGAAAAGCATCCAACTTCTATTAATGTACATTTAAAATTCTCTCTTTTTTATTTATTTTTTGCTTAAAAAAAGCATTCGCGATATTCTTCGCGTAATTCTCTTTTAATTGAAAACTGCATCGATTCCACTAATCTTTCATGTAAACGTGGAAACATGAAATGGAAATGCGAGCATTGTTATATTTTCTACTGCGTTTGTACGAGTACGTGTGTGAATCGCAATTTGCGAGGCGACGCGAAAAATAATAATTGCATTGTTCATCATTAAGGCGTCACTTTGTCGCGCAATAACCTCGGAAAATATATAAATGCTTCGTTTTCCGGTTTCCATCTTGCACTTTGCTTCTATCTTTTTTATTTCGTAATTCTCGATGTTGTTGTTGTCTTGGCTCTAAATGTGTAAATAAATATAATAATATTCTGCGATTGTATCAATTACATAACACGGCTTCCATTGTCCCCGGATAACAAAGAAGGGAATTTATTACATTGTGGCTACGGTAGTAATCAGCAGGCGCATTGCTTTTTATCTGGATGATCTAAATGCAACAATCGCATGATCAAACGAATAAGTTATTATAATAAAATAATAAAGGGACAAAAGAGAAGATTACGCTTTTTCATATTGATCATTGACTTAATGAACAGTCCAAATGTAATTTCGTTATTTATTTACGTTTATTTTTGTTTTACTTCGATTTGCACATGTGTGTTCGAAATGAGGTCACTTCTCATGATTATTTTCATACAGGAATTTGTATATTGAGTGAGCCCTCAAATATTATTTTTATTTTCTCATCAATATGCTCACTTCAATTTTATATGAAATAATCATATCGATTATGTAAATATTTTATTTCATCCTATAGAATCACAAGGATCCCAATTATACTTTTGGATATTATTCAGAATCCTAAATCGATTTTTTTTTTAATAAATTTGATAGTACCAAACACATTTTCATTTAATATCCTCTTGATTTGAAATAGAGAAGGTCATAGAATTGCAAAAATTGATGATCGGTTAATTTTTTTCTTTTTGAGCTATAAACAAATTTCCATTTGGCCACCCTATATATCCCTCCGCATTTCGTGAATCGGCGGCATTGTAGTTCCGCCACTCCGACATGTAATTTTTACAATTGTTTAAACAAATTTTCTAATAATGATTTAGATTTCACTTTGAAGCTGATGCTACAACTTATACAGAATGAAAAAATCGATCATTCTATTGCATAAACGAAGTGCAGAACCAATTTAATTGCGCATTTAATACAACTTTAGATTTGATTATAGAATTTTCTGACATTTTTTAACTTGTTTTTAATCCAATTCTGATTAAATGCGTAGAGGCATGGATGCAATAAGTATAGTTTATATAATATTTTAAAGCAAATTTTCTGTTGTGGTGTATTTGGAGATAACATTAATAGCATTTATTTTATTTCATGCCTTGAAAGAGTTTATCGTTGATGGTGAGCCAAATGCCTTGTAAATCTTTGGATAGCGCATTAAAACCGTAATTTATGTTTAATGGTAAAAATAGGATGGCTCGAATTGATTACCAGATAAATGCATATATTTTGTGGAACGCATTGAACGTATATTAGAACTCGTTGGTTTATGGCTAAGAACGGGCATTGGAAATAAAATGATGTATTGTTAAAGCTCTAGTTTACATGGAAACATTAAACCATTGCGACGTAACACGTGCATCAGTGATTAAAGAGCTGTTTGGCATTTTAGTGCATACATGATTTATGGCTGCACAACCTATATTTTCAAAATTGCACAAAATGATACAAAAAAGTTATATTTACTACAAAATGATTTAAACTAAGTTTTCATTAACATGATAAAATATTTTAATAAAATTGTAAATACATTAAAAACTAAATTTGAATACAGTAATAACAAGTATAAATTAATAATTACAATATTTATATTTTCACAGAAAATTATACAGAAAAAAAAAGTTTTTTCATTTGCTATAGATTTAACATTGATATTTAAAGTGATTTCTGCAGTTCGTAATAAAAATACTTTAAAATATAAAAACAAATATTATAAAATGTTCCTAAACTTATTTTATTATAAAAGAAACAAAGGAAAACTAAGAAACTTACAATAATTGGAATTAGATTTTTTATTGATATCTAAAGATACTAAGTAAACAATTTTAAATCTGTAATAAATATGGCTTTATATATACAATGAATATGTAAGTGAAAAATAGACATATTGTCGAAAAAGTTATTGATAAGAAGAATTGATTTAGTTTGTGCAAATGATGTTATTTTTGCTTTCGTTAAATATTGCGGGGTTGAATTGTGACTCGAGGCAGACGCTGCATAAAAGATGGGACGTCATAAGTACACCGGAATGGAGTTTCTGCGAGAGATAGTCTTCAATTTGGCAGCAAAATCCGGAATATACTAGAGAATAACACCGCCCCGTCGACATCCTGGCATAAATCAGAGGTCCCGGGAGCGGCCCGGCTTATTACCAGAGGCACCGATAAATCATCCCTTCGCCGCGAAAATATGTGGCCAAAAAGTACCGTCGCACCCCCGTCGTAATGGACCATTGCTCTCATTATATCAGTCCATTGGCGTCCAGAATTATCGAGGTCATTCGGAAACGTTCACTACGCTTCTTCTACCCTTAACTACGGCATTTTCACAAATCGCCGAACAATCCGCGTTTCCATCACGTAACTTCGTCGCCTCCCTCTCACCCACCCTCTCTTTCTCTCTCGCAGACTCTCATATGTTTCGGTCGGCTGTCATAAACAAAGCGCCAAATCACGGCAATGCCAAAAACAACGAACCAAAAAAACACGAACAGAAGATGAACAAAAAAAATGGTACAATAATAATAATAATGCGAACATCCCCCGACGGATTTAATTTGTTTGCGGCCCAGTTTTCGCCATTTATTGTCGCGCACTAAACCACTCTTGAGCTAGACAATCTACGCCTGAAACTTCATAATAACCAGATGCAGACGCTGTATTCTGAGATGTGTTTTTTTAATCCATCCTCCAGCCATCGCCAATTTGGATTCAGACAGATTTACGATCTCCTCGTGTATTTTTGCGGCCAGTTCCGTCTTGTTTTACAATACTCTTGGAAATCGCAATAATGCAAAAATGTGTGCGCTCCGACGGTTTCGGAATTTATGCTCAAGCTATGCACATACAGGCCTCGCGGCTGGAATGGTATGGCATCCACACTGAATTACCCCAGTTTTACCTTCTTGTCACACCCAAGACCTCTTCACTGACGACTACCTCGCATTCCTAGTTTCACACATCAATAAATACCACAAAAAATAATATATTATATTAAACTCAGTAATAAATTAAATAATCTAAAAAATAATATTGAACACATTTCATTTTTATAATTAAAGAAAAATTTAGATAAAAATAAGTATTTTTAATTATAAGAAATACATTTTTCTTTATTTTTGCTTATTAAAATTGTAAGTATAAGAAAATACAAACCTACTTTAGTAATTGACATCAGTATTGATCTACAAAAGTATCAAATTGGAGTAAATACAAATAACTAACAAGTACATTACCTTTATGACGTGAGAATATATATATAGTAAATTGAAGAACGCTATTAAAGAACCTTTACCATAATTTTACTTACATAATGTTAAAATAATATATTGTAATAGAATATCTATAAATATAAAGATATGTGTAGTTTTTTTTTCAATTCGTACTAAATATTTTATAATCATATCTTATTAACTATTCTAGTGATATTTGCATCAAAAAAATAGACTATAGCGTTAATCATCGCTCTTAATTAATAATTTTAAAAATTATCAGAACATTGTCGTTTCCATATTATTAATAATAAATTAGGGAATTTATTATAATATAAAATATTATAAAATGCTATGAAATATTGCTATTGTTCTCAGAATTTAATATTATTTTTCACTGAAAAACTTTATATAATAAATTTTGTATTTATTATTACTTTTTATAAC